TGTAATCCTCACGCTGCCCATTTTTCCTGCTTCTAACACATCAACTTTGAGGACAAAATGTTCACTTGCTGCCTAATATATCCCACCCACTGACAGGAGCCATGATAACCAGGTAATCAGTGTTATTCATTTCACCTGTCAAAGAATGGTAGTTTTTACTAGACGCACTTAAACGCAGCACAGATCACAACATAAGTCATGTGACACGTGCGGTAAGCGCAGGCGCGGTGGAGAGTTATAAAGTCATTTGTGCAGTTGTGTTTTTGTAGCGCTATCCTCTCTGCAACATGAGTAAGATATTAGCTGTTTTGGCGGTAACAGTAACCGTGTTTTCTGCCGAGGGGCTCCGTGGCCTGCCGTCCGGTTACTGTGAGGTAACGGTAATGTTTTAGTTTTCAGTGTTTGCTGTTGTTCTTCTGAAACCTCAGTTCCGCTTTGGACAAAACTTAATTCAAACGTCTCTTGCTCGACTGCTCGTCATTGTCTACACACCTGACAGAAAGTGACTCAAACTCTGACACATTTGTGACGAACGAAGGAGTACTTTTAGTTTATTCAAACAAAACTTGATATTTCTCGTAAAATGGATTGGGTGCTAAGGGTTAACCATGTTAAAGTGTATGTATTAATAATATAAATACTGTTAAATTGTGTCAGATGTTAGCCGAATCGGAGAGTGGAGATTTAATGTTACCCACAGGTCTTCAAAAGTAAATTCTATTGTTGTATGTATGTTTTTCTAATAAGACATTAATGAATGTCTTGTTTCTTGAATAGAGTTTGGTTTGACATTACCTACGAAACCTGAACTTCCAGTGAGAATTTCGAGGAACACAGTTTATAGCAGCACTGTGATATGATAATTGATATGATATTCCTGTTCTATTCTCCCATTTTAACTTGGTGTGTATTGTTGGAGCTTTTCAAGAGCTTTATGAAGAACAGAATAATTACTCTCATTTATATAGTCAGGAAAACATCATGGATCCAAGACCGAACCCCAGTTCAAAGAGAAGTATTTCAGTCAGACTTTGGACCACTTCAACTTTAACAGCATGGGGAACGGGACATTCAGTCAGCGATACCTGATCACAGGTGAAACCTATTTCCCACTTTAAATATAACAAATACATGAGCAAATAACCTATTGTGTTCCTGTTTTTCCTCTCCTTTAAGATGAGTACTGGAAGAAAGGGTATGGTCCTATTTTCTTCTACACCGGCAATGAGGGAAACATTCTGGAGTTTGCGCTCAACTCTGGTTTCATCACAGAGTTAGCTGCTCAGCAGAGAGCCTTGGTCATATTTGCTGAACATGTAAGAGAACACTGGTGCAAATCATCACACAGTGCAGGCTAATGCATACAGTATTTCCATTTATGACTACATGTTTGTCACTCAAACAGTTATGACTGGGTAGAGTTTGCAGATCATGTGACAGAGGAAAATGGGAAATGGTTGGTTAAAGTTTGACTCATACAATCAGCTGATTTTCACTCCCCCAACCAACCACCACTGCAAATCTAATCAGCTGGTATGCCTATGGAAGCTCTTTTCTTGCTTTCTTAAGGTTAAAATAGAAGCCTTAGAATTTATTTAAATATATTTATAATTTTTATGCAGATGTATATCAAGCATTCTAATGATACTGTGAAATAACGTCTCCTCAAGTCTTTAAAAAGTCTAAAATCCAATAATCAGGATTTCAGGCGTTAAAAAATCAGATTTGATTGGATTAATGGAGTTAATGTTATTGTGTCTCTTTTAAATGTGTTTTTTGGAGAGAAAAAAAAATTGATTATGCTGTAACAACTATAAAATGAAACATGGAACCAATACATATTTTCCCTCATTATGAAAGCAATTTAAGACTTATTTTATATTAACCCTTAAGAGAAATGGTTTGATTGGAGGCTGGGAGTGAATGAAATGCAGCACTAAGAAAAGTAAAAACTCTCGCAGTTTTATCATTAAACGTATTTAATGTAAATATTTGAGGGAAAAAGAGCAGCACCTTCTGATATTGAAATATCTTAAACATATGGCTGAGTATTGCATCTCACTGCTATTCTAGTTACCTACCAACCAAAAATGTGTCTGTAGCACTGAGGACTCAAAGAACTGAAAGCTGACATCAAATGTCTGCTCAGATCTTGTTTACTCATTCTTTGACCAGATAGTGGGTCAATTAAATACATTTTGGCAAATTAAGACTACATTTATTTATACCAAGTTCTTCAACATTCAACATTTAACATCTGAGATTGAATTGAGTTTGATTACTACAGGTCAGATTCAAACCCATGGCTGCTGTAGTAAGGACTCTCACACCCTGGAACCGATTATGTTTCTGCAATAAAAATTACAATCTTAGTGTCAGAATTTAGAATAAGAACATCCACTTAATTATTGTACGAAAGTACAATTTTAAAGTTACTTGTACTTCACTCAATTACATTTTGGAGGCAAGTATCGTACTTTTTGCTCCACTACATTTATTTGATAACTTTAGTTACCAGTTACTTTGCAGATTCCCAATTTTAATATAATGAAAGCGACCCATGGCGTCTATGGCTAGAAACAGCTCATTTGAAGATAATGAAAACACAATGATTCTTATATTCAGCTGATTACACACTAATGAAAACATCCCTACGAATATTATATTCCATTTCTGACAGTAGATCCTCTTCAGTGTTACACAATGGACCTTTAAAATGTATTAAAAAGTAATTGTTTTGAAGTAAGTAATCAATTAGGGAAGTGTCATGGTGATATCTGTTAGTTACAATGTTTATCCTATATTCACCTGTAGTGTCTCCCCTAAAGGGTGCATGTGGTAGCAGGCAGATCACGGTGATCAGTGGTTTTTGAATGGGCACTCAAACTGTGAAGATCTGTCACTTTTTCGACTGAAAACAAACTCCAGATGATCTGATTGGAATTGCTGACATTTTGTTGTCTTTGAAACAGACAACCCCTCTTTTGTGTCTGAATGAGCTAGAACAGTTGTGTGTGTTTTGTAGTGCATATGGATCTATAGAAGCAGTTGTGCAGTGCTGGAATATAGCTAAGTACACTTACATAAGCACTGCACCTCAGTACAATTTCTAGGTACTTTTACTTTACTTGAGAATTTAATTTTCTTTTTGTGCTACTTTTTACTCTTATTCCACTACAAGGAAAATATTGTACTTTTTACTCCACTACATCAAACTGTAGTAACTAATGATTTTACATCCTGGCACCTGTGGCTCCGAGACAGAGTGGGTCATCCAGTAATCGGAAGATCAGCAGTCCAATTCCCAGTTCCCTCCAGCCTGCATGTTGAAGTGTCCTTGAGCAAGATACCGAACCCCAAATTACCCCTGAAGGCTGTGCCATTGGTCTGTTTCTTAGTTACTTTCTGATGAGCAGTTGGCACCTTGTAAAAACCTTGCAATCCGATTGGCCACCCCATTATCTTTACCTCTTTTACTCCCACTGTCTTTCAGAAGCTGTAGTGGGCTCAGTTTAAAGCTAGAGTGAAGATGCTGGTATCATGCGAAACTAGATGACCTAACGCATCCATTGGTATATATAAATATATATATATATGTATATATATATATATGCTCGATGTCTAGCTTGACCATGAAAAAACTGTCATGGCCATTTTCAACAGCACCCTTGACCTCTGACCTCAAGATATCTGAATGAAAATGCATTCTATGGGTACCCATGAGTCTCCGCTTTGCAGATATGCCCACTTTATGCTAATACCATGCAGTTTTTTGCATGTGGTACAGTGTATGTGAATATTTCTGCATAGTGCGGTCCTAAACAGTATTGGAACTGTATGAATTAGGAATGACTGGAAAGCTGAGACACATATTTGCACTTGCATACTTGCCACCCCTGCATTAGTCAGTGCCCCACTTGTGCCCCCCAGTCAAAAAAGTCTGGACCTTTGCATGGCGGCCTCTGCCATCAGGGTGTGAATGTGTGTGAACGGGTGAATGTGACATGTAGTGTAAAGCACTTTGAGTGGCTATATAAAGGCAAGGTCATTTACCCTACTAAACATATAAGCTAGTAAAATATGATGCATTGTTATATATTAAACTACCCAATGCTTATAATTGAATGATCCTTCAATAACATGCTGAATACACATTAAAAACAATAATCAAAAGTATAGTTCAGTACACTCACAGGGCCATTTTCCTGCATTATGAGTATTTATACATTTGATACTTAAAGTATGTTTTGCTAATGTTATACCTTGTATTCTTGTAATCTACCCTGCCACTGCATTTCAATTTGAATGGACTCCCTAAAGTCACCTATTTTTATTCCCAACATTTTCATTGACAGAAATGCACTACAATAACAAGAGAGGCTCAGGGAGTTTTATTTTCAGAAACATGTCCTGAAGACAGAAAGGAATACGAACTGTGGAGATTAAATAACGGTAGGCAGGAATTAGAATGTGCTCCATTTTGAATTTGCAGGTAATTCTTTAAATGATCATCTGTCAAAATGGTAAGGTTTTCAGCCTCAACTCTGATATATGAGAGGATGAAATACCCACATCACCCCGGATGTTGCCTTCATCTGTTAGGCTGGCTTTTTTTAATACTAATAAAACAGGGTGCTGTCCTTTGGCGTCCTCTCTCAGATCTCCTGTCCTGGTTGTGTTTGTCTTTAAATAGCCCTGTAGGGAGTGTGTCTTCAAAGACGGATGACCTTTAGGGTTCAGTACAGGATGTGAACAGCGTTCATGACACAGGACAGCAGCTGCCCTGCTATACAGGAACTTATTGTTCCTTTCTTAAGTACCATTTAAAAGTGCAGATCACTAATTACATTTGCTTGAAATGGTTATTATTATTTTGAATTTGAAGCCCAATCCGCTGTAGATAGGGCTGACATCACATACATAGAACCCACTCATTCAAATTTCTTCATATAAACAGTATGCTGTTTCATGGACTGAAAACACAAGGGGTCTTTTATTTTCATATCATTTACTAGTTTCCTGGAAAGAACTATGAAATTTAGTACTAATTATCAGGAAAATAAAGAATAACAGGCTAACTGAAGTTAATTTTGTTGAGTATATAACAAAATGGGGGTCTGTACCAAACAAATGTTTTCTTAAATCTGGAGAACAAGATTTGTGGACACCTTTACAGAAAAACGGTACTGCATTATAATGCTGTTTGTCACCCATTTTACCTTTATCAATACATTGCAGCTTCTGCGATTTGGATATTACACTTGGCCAATGGCCATACTGTGATATTAATAATATTTCGATTAACTGTGCAGCCCTTGTTTCGAAGCAGCTGCTGATTTCCAAAGAAATTCACTTGAAAGACTTCTCTAAAACATAATTATTAATTTATTATTATAAATATTTTTTTGTATGTTGCTGAACTGCAAGATTTATGTACTTAACTGAAAAATGTTCTGTGAAAATGTATAAAACCTCTCTCTATTTCCCTGTACAAAACTGCAATGTTTTACTAGAAACTTACAAAGACATATTAGTAAATTACCTCTTTTTCCATGATAAAGATGAGCTGTTAACTGCAAGAAAAACATTCATGAAAAAACAAAGAGCCAAAACTGGAATTTGAAAATAAAAAATCTAACCTCTTTATTGTGTGATAAAAATGCATTTACACATATAGGCAGGCCAAAGTAATAACAAAAACTATTCCTAATGCCCACCCCCAGCAGACAGTGGAGCTATACTGTACATATCATGGTGGATAAAATGCATGACTATAACAAAAAGACAGCCGTTCAGGTGGGTGTGGTTAATATCTGAGACTGAGATCCTGTCTCTTAATACTTTTAAGTCATTAGTCGAAGGGTCCCATGTGGATATTGGTCTTTTCCCTGTATGTCCGGCCTGGCTGCCAAGCATAACTCCAACTCTGCATCTAAAATGATGTTTTTCAGAAGTCATTCAGAGTCTGAAGCTCTCTTTACCTTTTAAATACTGTGCATGGGTGCAGATGGGTGGTTGCTGAGCCAATAAACCTAATTAACAAGTTTAATATTAAGTTTATATGGACCTGCTGAACTGAACAAAACAGTTGTCAGACCATGACAACATTAACGTTGCATTTAGTGACGCATTCGCTTTGTAATGTGGGAAAAAATTAGTTGGGAAGGTAAATCTACAACTTAATAAAAAACTACAATGAAAACGCAGTCTATACACTTTATAGTAGTACTATATAGGTAGTCTGTCAGTGTGCAGTTAATTTGTAATTCATCCATACAAGTCAGCGTGGGTGAACGTTGGCTCACATATTTGCGCGACTAACTGGTAGCAAACTGTCTTGACAGTGGTGACCTTTGTGGCAACAGAGAGCCAACTGTAAAAAAACATAGGAAGCTAACTTAGCGTACTAGCTGTGTTGCACCATCCACTTTATTATTACCATGCTCTGCTGGAGTATGAACTGGTCACAAAAGATGCACGGTTTGCAGATGATTCAGAGACGATAAGCCTCTTCAATAAATGAACTGAGATTTGGCATCGGAAGGGTTCTGGTTTCCATTTGTAGTCCAAGTAGTACTTAGTACTAGTAGTAGCAATCACGTTTGAGCGCGCTTTGGTTGCATGCAGGCAACAGTCCGTGTGGAGAGGAAAAAGAGGTGCAATGCTTTGGCTAAAATGCATTCTCAGAATCACTTTCTGGTGTGACCAGACCGTCAGAGGTTCTATCTGGCCTTTGCTTCTGAAGGAGGACATTCCAGTCATTATTCACGGAAAAGTGTAAGTGTATCAGATCATTTTATTCATGTTAACAAACTGTGAGAGTCTGAAAATGGCTGTAGATTAAGGAAGTGCTAGATCCTTGATCAGTTTTCCATATCCACATGCTGCATTCACATATGAAATGATTTCTGACATGAAGACCTGTAGCACAAGCACAAACTTGTCATGGGTGTCTACAGACATGTTTTGAATCCCCTTCCATGTTTAATCACTGAGATTCCAGAGGAGGTGCCATGGATTCTAGAGAGGACTTCATGGTGTCCTCCAAAAGGAATTTTATTTAACTGTCATTAGCTATTGTAAAACAGCTGCAGCTACAACAGAGTTTTCACTGTCGTATTTTTGTCTTTCCACATACTGTGAACAGTTCTGCAGTTTAGTACTAGTACATGAACAACTGAAGTGATCTTTTTCAATTCCTGGAACAAAAAATGAGTGGTGGTCTGTGATCTGAAGACACATAAATACTATCAGGTATTTCCAAATATGTGACAAACTGGTAATAGCAGTCTCTAGATCCACAACGACAAATACAGATGAGATGAACACAATCATTAGATGGTTAGGAACTCGTCCAGAATATCACAGGCTGGTGTCGGCTGTCTTCATCTTTGGAGCACTGACAGAGTTGGGTAGCGCTGCAGTGTCGGGGTGGGCGTCCCTGCAGAAGAACACAGCAGGATTTTTACAAGCCCACATTGCCACCTCTCCTCCCCCTCCTCCTTTTCCAGGACTTGAACTTGACAGCCGGCTGTTATTATTCACCCCTACACGACTCACATAGCGGTCCCTTATCCTCTCTGCTTGGTTAAGCCGAATTTCACGGTTCTGGGTTTGGCTGGAGAGGTACGCAGCGATATTTCTGGTCCGATAGCCCTCCTCTCTGCTCCGTCCCAGCAACATGGATATGTTGGGGTTCCTCAGGGCGTAGATCAGAGGATTGATGGCTCCGTTTGCCCAGGCTAGCCAGATAGCCACTGTGTCCATTGCAGGGTTGAACGTGTAGTCCCCCATCGCTGTAACCAACCCCATTAAGCAATACGGCCCCCAACAAAAGATTATGAAAACGATCATGATCAGAACCGTGGTGGCAGTTCGCATTTCACTGTAAAACCGCAACAAGTATGCGTATGTTGTTACCGGCCTGACTCGGATTTCAGAGAGTCGGACTGTCTTACAGATGTTATAATGACAAAAACACATGAGGGAGAAGGGCAGTAAATAACATACAACAATAAGTGAGATGCTGTAAGCTGTCCCCATGCGAGAGGTCCCCGAGTGGAACACATACATGCAGTGGTAGAAACCTCGCTTATGGATTTCTGGAGGTGTTCGGACCAACAGATACCAAGGCAGAGCGAAAATGACTGCAGTTAACCACACAGCTATCAACAACTGCGTTGCTTTCTGACGCCCTATTTTAGCCTGTGGCTGCCTGACTATGGAGTAGTACCTGTCAAAGGAGATCAAAGTCATTGTCAAGGTGGATATGATACCAAAGCAGGTGTTGAAAAAGCCATTGGCCACACAGAATCTATCCCCGAACATCCAGATACCATCCTTACTGAAGAGCATGACGAAGGAGAACGGCAGACACAGGACAGCTGTGAGGAAGTCGGACAGCGACAGCGACATGATGAAAGCGTTGGTCACTGTTCGAAGCTGCCTGTGCTTGATGATGACGATGACGACCGCTGAGTTGCCAAGGCTGGAGAGGAGGAAGATGGAGAGGAGTACCAGGGCCTGAGCTGCCACCGTGATGCCCTGCAAGACAGAGTTACTCTCAGCAGCGCTCAGCACCGACGGGGTTAACGCCTGATGGATCTGACTGAGCTCGTTCCCTCTTTGGTCTCTGAAGGCTGATAGGTTATCTGTGGTTCCCACTGTGGCCTCTGTGGTGACGGTCACTAGGCTAGTCACTATGGAAACAACCCTAAAGAACCAAAACAACAAGAGAAAAGAGGAAGAAATCCTTACATAATCAGCATAGTCTGGACACAATATGTTACACACTACTAACAGCATTTCATTCATAATCCAAACAAATAAAAGATTTTTATTAGAGCCGGGTTCTGGTTCAGATTGTTTGATACTAGTGTGATTCAGTACCTGCATTTCAGTGCCAATAACAAAACAATACTGTTTCCAATACCTTACTTTGAGGTTTTCAACAAAAACTTCCTTCTCATTTAACAAAAGAAGCCAGACTTCTCTATTTGTGTTTAAAGGACTGTGATTATTTCTGCAGGGTTTCATGGGGTCTGATCTGCCAAGAAGAGGACAAATGTTTTACTTTGGTACTGGACATCAAAACGGTTCTGTTTTGCACTGGGCATAACAGAACCGTGTTGATCATGTTTTATTTTCTTCTACTTTTTTTCTTTGGGTGCTCCATTTGGACAGTGTAGGACAGCTTGGATGAGCCGCCTTGCTGAAATCCCGAAATGGAGTTGCTGCTGATCTGGCTTTCCCTGTGGAAATTAGAATGCAATCTGGCCAAAGCGGAGTCCATCATACAAGTGTCCGATAAAACCACGTTTAGGGTTAGACAGGTGAACAGGCAAAGCATGCTTATCTTATATAAATGTATCTAAAAGTTCAATGAAATAGTAAAATTGGCAGATTCATGCTTGAATAATAACTCATCTGATAAAAGAATAAATAAGATAATGAATCTAAGCGAGACATTTAATACAAGCTTTTGGGAGTTGACGGTTTCTGCAGGCGGTTGCTACCAAACTATCTTGATCTTGCTATCAAGATTTGATGATTGATTTGAACCTTGCTAGGCAGCTGGTCCAAGCTGTGATAGACAGTGATAGATGGATGGTTCATCCAATCATCTTCCAAGTGCATAGATATACTGTGATAAACGATAGCCCTGTTTAGAACCTTTGAACCAGAGACAGCGGTAAAGCAGTGCTTTGCAGTCTGGTGTTATGCTACTGTTTGTGTTATTTTGTCAAGGTTTTAGTTATAGTCTGACCCATCGACATACAAAAGATGGCTGTCACGTCTCAACTTCCTCCCACTGTACAAAGACGAAACCAAATTATCCCTGATAAGGTCACTGCTATCTTTCGCCATTCAGAGCCAGAGCCCGAGTCTGCGCAGTAGTGACTGGGGTTGGCACCGCAGTATCAAAGTCCTGCCCATACACCCTGTCGACACACTCGCGAGCATGGCTCGGCTGTCAATTGTAACGTGGGTCGAATTTGGTTGGATTCCCCCTGAAATCAATGAAACAAGGAGGAAGAAACACTACACTTTTGTCCACAGTGTTAACATAAAAGTTATATAGAGAGAAAATATCTAAATTTGTCTACTGTAAACCAATAAGTGGAGGTACACCTCAGTGTCTAGCCTAAAATAAAATGTGCAGGAACAGAAACAGTGTAGCTGGTTAAGGGTTGGTTCCTTTAAAACAAAACATTGAAAATGGGGGTTACTACATACAGTGTGAATAAAGAATCAAATATCACACACTTACTGTGATTTCTTATGTCACCATGGAACCCTGATGGATTCAGGGCTCCTAGAGCCTCTGGAACATGCCAGCAATTATAAATGTTTATTTATACAAGTCCTGGAGGAGTTCATAATTTGTAACGACAACACTAATACTGTGGGGTTGATATCTGATTTATTTTAAAGGCCATTAGTTTACTCTACATTTGAGATATAAAATCAATTCTTTTTACTAATTGCATCTCTGCTGAAATGAGCTACTTTCTCTATTTTGACTGTTAAAAACATGTTTGTGTCAGCTACTGTAGCCCCAGGACAGGGTGTGCGGATGTTGCAGGTGCCCCATTGTTGCAGTTCTGGCATTGTGCAGCTCTAATTCCAAAGCAGAAAGGAAAGATGGACAGTTGGATGGACAGAGTGACTTTACCTCGGCACAACAGATGTGGCGGTGCCCAGCTGGCCGGTGAAGCCGGGACCCGAGGTGTCAGCTGTGTAGTTGCTGCCACTGCTGCCCAGCAGGGCCGTGCTAACAGGCATATCCATCGACGAAGCGCGAAAACGGCACAACAGAGCTCATACCTCGTCTCACACAACTCCATTCAGATTAGAGTCGGTCTGTGTCGGTTTCCTGGATTCAAATGAAGCTGCTGATAATCGAAGTTTTCTATTTCATTATGCCCACAACCATAAACAGAGGAAAAGAAAGGACAAGGGGAAGTCAAAGCAGTGTTCAATGGCTAACACTGACTGATTAGGCTGGTTTGACATAACTGTTATAGAGCAATATCTAAGTTGATAATGGCAGGGTAAAACAAAAGTGTTATATATGATGGATACCAATGTTATACGTTTGTTACTGCCACTGGCTGTGCATTGTGTGTATCATAAAACTCCCCAGTGACCTTCTTCTGTTGACAGCCAGCCCTCAGGATTAAGAGGTCACAGACTAATTGATCCACATAAGAGCACATTATTATCTAGAATTCACATCGCTGATAGGGTTTTACTGTTAGTTCATCAAAGCTTTAAGATGTTCTTTATTGGCAGAACCACCTGTTGTCTGTATAATTGAATTTCTTGTGGAAATGTAATTGTATTGTATATTATAAATTTTTTTTATTTGTTTATATAATACTGACTGACCCAGAGCTTGATAAGAATCGAAAAAATTATTCTCAAAAACAGTGTTGATTTTTATGTTTATATCCCCAAACGCTAATATATTGATAGGTATACCCTAACCCATAAAAACAGATGTGTTCTATACACTACCGTTTTCCTAAAATGTAATATTTAAAAAAAATTAAAAGTACCACTGCATTTCTTTAATACTTGCTACAGGTATTACGATGATTTGAAAATGACAAACCTTTCACAGTATTTAGCCTACAAGCTATAGCCTGAAATACACGTTTCAGCCTGGAGCCAAAAAAGAATAACATACCTTTTTGCTATAATAAGCTAGTTAGCAATAGCAGCTAAACCTAACCCAATGTTATCACAAAAAGGCCCAAACAATTTATAAAAACCTACTAACAACCTAACTGGATATCTGTTGAACATATTCGTGCCTCTGTTTAAGAGCGGTTAAATAACTTACCCGGAAGTTATTTGTTTAACGTTACATTCCGACAAAAATGTGGCCAGCCAGACAAACATTTTGTTATGTTTGTAAATGTCCGTTATTCGGTTGTAAAACATGCTTTATGTATTTCCTCTCCGTCTCGTGTGGCCGCAAACTTTGAGCATTTTTCTTTCAGTCTGTCCACACACACACACACACACACACCAGCTTTAAGCCTCTGTGTCAATCATAACGCTTGTTCCCATCTTCCAGCGGTGTTCAGTGAGCCTCTCCGGGTCTTCCTGAGCACACAGCGGGCTGCAGTAACAGTGAGCCCCGGTACAGACACAGCTCCGTATCCTTTATGTCAGTACTGTGTTTGTGTCGTTCGGGGTTCTGGCCTTTGGAATCCTCGTTAAGGAGATGAGGACAGAGTCAGTCCGGTTCTTCCTCCTCAGCTGTGTTCTCCGCGGCTGGAGGAGACCCTGTTGATTTCTGACAGGAAAAATAAAACTAGCCCTCTTTTCTGTTTCTCTCTGTCTCCATTAGTAACAGCTGTGCGCTGCAGAGAGGTGGACAGCTGCTTCAACACATTTCAGGTGTGAACGAGATTCTGCACAAGCTCCTCCACTCACATCCCCCTCTCCCTCTCTCTCTCTCTCTCTCTCTCATGGTCTCTCTACCTGCAACAGTGCCTTGCTCTCTCCCTCTTTGAAGCCACGCCCTCCCCGTGAACGTGCTCACAGCTTCGTGTGACGTTTCATACAGTTGCCATAGTAACTGGTGATAGATTTTTGCATCTTTGTCTCTGTAAAATGATATTATAATGTGTTTGCAAGGTATACTGTTAGAAATTGAGGGTATACAAATATGATTGGAGCAGTTTGGTGATTCCTACCGGAGCTGGTTTGTCCCCCTGACTTTACTGGTCCTCTGATGTTAGTGGACTAGACAATATCAGCATGTGCTGCAATAAAAGTCCTGAGCTGGTCAGCAGCAGCTATGATCAGAGAGTGAGCAGCACAAAGTGCCCATTCTACAGTTCTGTGTTTTTATTCAGCGTGACCACCGTGTTTGGAAGTCTATGGCTGCCAATATAAAGATGATTTTATTTCATCAAACTGAAAATTCATTTTCCACATGCAAATTATGACAAAATCAAGTGAAATGTAAATCCAGTTTTCAAATTTGAAAGTGCTAAACTAGTGCCAAAATTAATATCAAAGCAAAAACTCCACTGATTAATGATTTTCAGTGTACTCCTAAGCATAACACTGCCAAAATAACAATGACATTTTCAAATTTCACACAATCTTTTTAAGATGGTTTCTGATTAAACTGACCATTGTGTAAATGCCCATGAAAAAGGCCCTTTTTAGCTCAAATCAGGACATACTTGAAATTGAACTGCAAAAGTCCAGTTTACAATTCAGTCTTCAACTTCAGGTTGCATATTGTCTGCAATTTTAAAAATGAAAGGTCTGCCTTCCATGGAGTCCAGCATATTGAACCTCAATGCTTCTACAGTAGCCCAGAACGGACAAACCAAAAACTGGCTCTAGATAGGGCTGTTTAGTTTTGTCTGACCATGTCTACCATATATAACAATAGAAAACCAGCTTACTATCAAACAGCCACCATCCTCTGCTGCTCTCTGACGGATTCTAAGCAGGAAGTTGATTAGCGTGGTTCTATTGATTGATTACACAAACTAATCAATAAGAAGCCCTAAACCTGAAGTTATTATCCTCTTGAGCTTTACAGCAGACACTAAGGGTGTGTGTTAGAAAGGCTGGACTTCTACTGCAGAGTAACTGTAGAACTGTGTGTTTAGTTCAGGGACTATGCGCCACCTACTGGCTG